TCCTTTCTGAACTTCAAAACAAGATGAAGATGCCAAGCCACGGGGATGGAGTTTCTAACTCGGGAGAACTGACTTATCCATCAATTAATCGGTCGAAATTCCGAATTTTTTTGAAATGGAATTGGAAAAGAATTTTCATTCCGAATTTTTTTTTTGGAATGGAATTGGAATCCCCTGATTCCAGCCCTACACCCGACCCAACCCCTTACCATGCACTGCCTCTCTCTCTCTCTCTCTCTCTCTCTCTCTCTCACACACAACTGAAAGGTCTCTGGAACCCATGGAAGCACATGCAACATATCTTTCTTTTTTTTGAAAGGAAAGACTTCATTCAATTAATCAACATGACAAAGGAATGTCGGCATGGGTAGTATGGCCTCATTAAAACCTCCCTAAAGAAAACCCGATGGGAAAAACTTCAGGGGAGGAAAAAGAGTGCCACATATGCCCGATTACACATGAAGATATTAAATCAAACGACAGTAGGCTTGTGCCAATCATCATAAACAGCATCCATAAGCCACAAAGGACCCACATCCAACCAGTACGACAAACTTTGATCGCGAAGACTGAAGCAGGCAATTCGATGGGCAGCCTTGTTCACGTGGCGAGGAATATGACGAACAGCAGAAGACGCAGAATTGACCAGGAGGCGCCGCACCCCATCTACCAGCCCTCCCTCAGCAGCAAGGCATTCCTCCTCGTTGTTGACCATAGAAACTGCCTGCAAGGAATCAGACTCAATCTCCAGAGGCACTAGAGACGCATCCAACGCAAAAGAGAGTCCGACCTTAAGAGCATACAGCTCTGTTGCAAGTATAGAGATCCGACTTGGCGCCCGCATAGCTAGAGTCCCAACCAGATTTCATATGGTAATATTACATACGAAAAGGAAGGTCCAAATAAATCCAGTTTTATAATACAACTAAAGATAATAACTAAATTATCTTATCAAAGAGATGCAATGGCAAGATATGAGGAACATTAACATGTATAATCAGTGATGAAAGCGACTGGTATCTTGTAGATGTGCACCACAACATATCATGTAGTCTTGTCCCTAGCTTCTTGGCTTCTGATGATATTCTTCTCAAAGATTATGCAAAATAAAGAATAAAAAATTATTATCTATCATTAAAATAGAAAATCATAGATAGCTTAAACACGTGGACATGGACTAATGACATGAGAAAGATAAGGCAAAGAAAAATAAAAAGCAACGCCAATTCATGAAAATATATTAAGCTATACATATATCTTCTATTGATTTTATAGTGACCGACCAGACTGCTTGGTTTAATTGAAAACGTACCTTCTTTTCTCTCCACGTGGACGCTTAGTAGACACATGTCGGTTGCTTATGCATATAGAGACTCAGGAGCAAATGCTTTTAATTTTGGACACCGAAAAACTTGGACTTTCTCCAAGGCTGGAAACTTCAAAGTATAAGCTTGAGAGCAGAAAGATTCAAGTTCAGGTAAACCCCGAAGTGCGATATAATTCAATTGAGGAAATGTCAATTCATCCTCAATACTTTCTCCTTCTCCTTCTGCCTCTCCAACAATTTTCTCCATCGCACTACAATAGGCTACTTCTATTGTCTCAAGGCAGGTAAGAAGTTTGGTTATGTGCGGTGAAAACAAGTATCTCAATTTGTCACACCCCCATACGTGCAGGAATCTGAGGTTTCCAAAGCCTGAGCTAACTTGTAAACCATTTTCCCATATGTGGCTCAGCATTCGTAAATCCCATAACCTCAATTCCTTGAGCTTATCAAATGCTTGAGTAGAAGGGGTTTCCTGAACCAAAAATATCACTTCCAATAAATCGCACCCATTTACTTCGAGATCTTCTAGATTGTCGCTAGCAGTTGAGGTCTGAAGATTTGCCGGCGTAACCTGGCAAAATGGTAGAAAAATAATTGTATAATTTGTTAGTGTTTCAATCATATACATATGGGATGTTATCACATTCTAGAAATCAAGAAGGTTGTTTAAAATGAAAAATGAAGTATTCATATAAAAAGAAGAAGATCATTTCACAAGTTACCAGTATTCATATAATGCCTTTGTTGTACTAGTGTAGTTGAGTTTCTGTCAAAAAGATGTCCTGAGACACTTTAAACAGAAACTTGTTCTATCCTTGGTTGTATTATATGCTACCTTATTTGTACGGCTTAGATTAAGCCACATAGTCATTCTCATATGTGTGGCTTACCCGATTCTTGGCTGAGTGATATAATTAGCCTTGACTTCTAATATTTATCATTCCAAGACAATATACAAAATGTGTGCTCAAGAAGCTAGAGAGAACAGGTTTTCTCCCATATCACATTTCTGGATTTTCTAACTTGAGACGTATTTTACAGAAATTCCTTCCTTGTTTATTTGCTCTTTTTTCTCTTGTGCGTGTGTGTGTGTTAGTTGAACCACAGCACCAAGATATCTCAAATTCCAATATAAAGTTTGGCTTTCCAAAAATTCACTTATTGTGAGGCTTCAAATTAATAAAACATAAATAAATATCTATTTCAGACTTTATCTTCAATGACATCTGTACCTAAGACCAATTTTTACAAAATAGAGGTATCCCTCTCCGTAAGTTATATATGTGTATACTAATATTGAGATGCGTAGTTTAGAATAATGGCGTACCTCTCTATTTACAACCTGAGGCAATATTTGAGTAAAGTTGCGAGTAGATGGACGACTTTGAAAGCATACTAGCGGCGAACATCCAGATCCAGTTGATGATGATGCACCACCTGATTCTTCTCTACCTCTTACATGATCATCACTCAAATTCTCTGCAATTGCAGGCAGCTTTTTGCTTAGTGGTGCAAAACCCAATGTCTTTAATTTGTGACAACCTATCACCTCCATAGTTCTCGTGGAGGAGGGCCATGCAAAGGAATAGGCATCAGGGCAAAATCTCTCGAGGTTTGGCAAATCGCTAAGGTGGAAGGTGAGTAAAGTTGCGAGTAGATGGACGACTTTGAAAGCATACTAGCGGCGAACATCCAGATCCAGTTGATGATGATGCACCACCTGATTCTTCTCTACCTCTTACATGATCATCACTCAAATTCTCTGCAATTGCAGGCAGCTTTTTGCTTAGTGGTGCAAAACCCAATGTCTTTAATTTGTGACAACCTATCACCTCCATAGTTCTCGTGGAGGAGGGCCATGCAAAGGAATAGGCATCAGGGCAAAATCTCTCGAGGTTTGGCAAGTTGAATAGTGTGAAGCTATTGATCAGTAGTTTGGGAAACAAAGTCATCGCGCCACTACCACCTGTCTATTTCCCTTCTTCATGGATATTGTCCTCTATGGAAGCAGCTGCCTGTACTATAGTTTCCATATTCTCACAATGGTATATGATGACTTGTTGGAGATTCACAAGGAGCCTGTAAATTTCATAGGGGCATAGATATTTCATACTCTTACAAGCTTCAATTGTTAAAGTTCTTACATTTTGAAAACCTTGGAATCCAGGCTGAACGTTCTTCCACAAATGCTCAACCTCATTTAAACCATCCGCATTCAATGTTTGTAATTGAGAAAATGCTGAGACATGCCCTTCTAAATCAAATAGCGCATTGGCTACTGGTTCATTGTTCAAACGCTCCAATACAAGTTCCTCTAGATTTGTTAACCATGAAATGCAATTTGAAGGAAATAGTGCAGTACAACTTGCTCCCACTTGTGCTACTTTTGATTTGGATGAACGCCCAGCAACTTGATCATGTTGTTGGTCATTCTTAGTCTCTTTCATCTTGTCCAAATGAGAGGCGTTCACACTTTCATCATTTGGCTTTATGACCTGTACAATAATTAATTCTAGATATGTAATGAACTTACACATGAGCATAATTAAAGAAATACAAAAAATAAATTTTAGTATTTTCTTGAATGAAGTGGTCAAATATGCCTTTTCAGAGATAATTTTTTTATTGAATATCTATAAAATAGACTGTTTGGATTAGTGAAATACAATGTAAAGCCCACCATGCTTTGCAAGGATGATCTATGAAAGATGAGACAAGGTTGAGAACATAAAAATCTCTACCATTAAACTATATTTATTGCATATGCAGGCAAACTTAACTATTATTCTAAATTTTGTATTTAGAAATTATAACGCAAAAAATCAATACTCGTCATAAATTAGTTGCAAAAATTTGAAACGTATATAAAATCTCCAATACACCAAAAATTGATTAAGTTCAACCCAAGAACTGGAATGACAGTATCAAGTTTGTTTAACTAACATATTTTTAGAAACATATATACCTCATAGGTGGAGTCGCGTTGGTTGCCCGTGTAGAAACCAAGGAGCTTCGGTGCTTTGATAATCTTCAAAACCGTTGGGAAACTTATCCTGTGAGATGCATTATCATCTTCCATTCTCTCCTTTGATATGATATCTTCCACTTTAGCACAATTTTCAACATTTAAGCTTTGGAGTTGTACCAAGTTTTGTGCTATGGATACTGAAAATACATATTTTAACTCATCACAATTGTTAATTGCTATGGATCTTAGGTTCATAAAGGAGCGCTTGTCTAGCAGTTTGCCACAACACACAACTTTTAGTTCGTAAACATTCTTGAAGGTAACTGACTTTAAGATGGGGAAGGCGGGTTGATGACGACGAGTCCAATCTGTTCCATTCATAAGATACTCTATGTTGTCGTCATCCATGATTGATAACACTTTCAAGTGTTGAAAGCCCCCTTCATCATCTAACTCGATGACATACTTTAAATTGCATGTGTAGTGTAGGCTTAAGTCTTCAGATTGCTTCAAGAAGTATCTAACTGCTCCAATCTCCAAATATTCCTTTACATCACCACGAAGCATCAAACTATTTTCGAACAGATACGCAGGCATTCGATTCTCGAAACTCTCTTCTTTGAATGACCAACAAAGATTGATAGATACATGAAATCTTGTGGGCTGGCTTTTTAAAATAAACTCATCATTTCGCAACATCTGAACATCAGGGATTTTTATGGCTACGACATTTAAATGATCAAACATAGACATCACCTCATCAACGCTTGCCATACCCGTTTCATCCTTGGTTTCTGTTGCTGGCCCCCAATTGAGAAAGCTTTCTGCCATGTACAACTCTTCTAATCTCCTCAAGTTGGATAAGACACCATGAGGAATTTCTTCAAGTCCTTCACAATCTGTTGCATCCAACATCCTTAACCGATGAAGATGTCCTATTTCTCTAGGCAACTTATTGATTTGAGAGCGGGCAAAGCTGAGGATCTCCAAATTCTCCAATCCTCCAATAACATGGGATATGTCTCCCAAATTGCAATCCTCTAGACACAAGGTATGAAGGTACTTGGGTTCTCCAAGCAGTAGAGATTTTTCCGAGGCCAAATAGCTTGACATATTCACCTCTAAGAAAGATAAAACCTTGAGTTCTTTCATTCTTTTAAAGTGGTTGGAATATTCTGAACTACTTGAGGAATTTTTCAGTTGCAGAAGCTCAAGTTTGGGGCACTCCAAACCATCAGTAATATTTTCATCCAATTTAACATCAATTAACGAAATTGCACTGCAATGTTCTTGGTTTGTAACTTTTTGTACCCCTAGCCGTCCTCCACCTCCACCTTCAGCATCAAATGATCTTACCATAAATCTGTGAGGATCTTTTGAGGCAATTGATATAGCAACATCACGAACTATGTCATGCATTTTGATACACTCTTCCTTGTGACTATCCAGCAACAAATACCTTCTTTTTAGTTGTCCAACGAAATAATGCACTTTGTTTCTTACATCTTCGATTATGTTGGTGTTTCTAAAAGTTGCTCGACCCGACCCATACCTCACCAAATACTCAATCGGAATATCATAATCTTCTGGAAATAAGCAACAAAGTAAAAAGCATGACTTGACTTCATCACTATCCAATTTATCATAACTCAATTTTATGCAAGAATAAACCTCAGGTTCCATTCCAGGGATGTTTTCAGGGAGAGAGTTTTTTAGTTCTTGCAAGGCAGTATTCCATTCATGCTTGCCATTACTTGATAGAAGAGCTTTCCCAACAGTTATGATAGCAATGGGTAAACCTTTGCATTCACCAACAATCAATTTTGCAACATGAGACAAATCAGGATCATTGTTCATAGATTCACCTACAGTTGCCCTGAAAAGCTCCCATGATTCTTCTTTATTTAAGGCTTGGACTTTAAAAATGTCATCTTTTTTACACCCCATTACTTTACAAACTTCTTCATTTCGAGATGTCAACAAAATTTTGCACCCTTCATGAACTTGATTAGTTGTAGGTCCAACACCAAAAGGGATTCCTACATCCTGTAATTTAAGCTCTGACCATACATCATCCAATATAATTAGGATTTTCTTCTGCTTGATTCTCCCATATAGCCTTTGTGCTCTTATAGATTCACTTTCCTCGATGAATTTCATGCCTAATGATTCTGCAATTTTAGTTTGAATTGTCTTAATGTCTATAGTTGCGGATACAGTTGCCAGCACAACCTCATCAAATAGCTTATCCGTTCCTTCTAATCTCTTGATGATTTCTCTGATTTCTGTCACCATTGTGGTTTTACCCACACCTCCCATCCCGCATATCCCAATTATTCTTGACTTTTCATTCCTCAAAGCTATAAGCACATCATTCATGACTGCTTTTCTGGATTCAAAATGCTGAAAATCGTCACTAGAGATTATTGACCCTAGCTGTTGCAGAGGTGAAGGATTGGCAACATTATTACTCAATTCTTCGTCTAGTTTGAGATCAAGTACACGCTCGGCAATCTTCTTGGCTTTCCTACTCAGAGAATACCGCGATTTCAAACTTGGGCACCGCCTTTGCATGTTGAGTTTGGTTTGAAGTTCTTCCGCTTCACGAAATATGTTGCTTACATCATTCAGCCAACTTTGAACTTGATCTTTGATGGTTGCACCATTCCTTTTTGCAGCATCCACAGATCTTTGAACATCATTTTTCTTGTCATCAAGCTTTTTAAGTGCATCCTTCAGACTTTCTATGTTGGAATCATAGTAAATTAGATAGCTGAGTTGTCTCCCAATTAGTGCCACTGGTTCTTCTACAATTTTAGATGCAATTGAAGTACCAATCTCCTCCATTTTCTGTTGCCTTTTTATATAAAGCCGGCAGAGACTAAGGAAATTCTCAAACCAAATGAAACTGTTGCAAGCGATTCCACACCTACAATTTTTATTATGAAAAAGTAAGGTAAACCAACCAAAACCTCACCAATCAAGTCTCATAACATTAAAAAAAATGCATTGTCATAGTTACAAGAACAAACAGTACACTCTGCACAATTTTGGGTCGAATTCCAACTCATTATTTATAGATACTAGTCATTGATTTTATTGTTATCATTTTAGCTCAATTTTAAAATGTACAATCACTATGGCTCTAAATCGAATCGATGTAGTTTGAGTTGGACTCATGTTCAGCTAGTTTTTTGATCGTTGAAGCTCAGTTGGTAAAAGAAACGAGCATAGTTGGAATAAAAGATAAGGCTTGTTAAGGTGACCCGAGATTGAGCTTTGGTGTACCCAGCTCACAAAGGTCGTTAGAAACTCACATCTTTTTATAAGATATTGTTTCGTTAAAGTTTGGTCTTAAACGGTAATTGGAAAGATGTCATGTAGTGGTTGGGGAACCGCCGGTTTGGGGTTCGAAACTCACTGAGGTACCTATCTAACAATTTTTGCTAGAGTTTCCTTGCCCGCCAAAGACTTCTCAAGACACCCAACTATCACAGCCACAGCCACACCCACCGCCGGTATCTCTCTCTCTTATTTCTGTTTCTCAATTCCTACTTTGACAAACACGTTTGCCAAACACCCACTGCCCACTCCTTGATTTGCTCAAGGTAATGGGATTCTTAGATCTCTCAATCATCCCATCATCAATGGATTCATATGATAATGATATGCAACTGACGCGATGCTCTGTTTCAATTTAATTTGAAATCCTCCAATCTAATTTCAGGTTGTTTCATGGATGGTGATTTGGTTTCATTAGATTTGAAACTAAGTGTTTCTAGATATGCAACTAAACTTTAGTTTCTACGTCAATCACAGCAAGTTTCAAACGATGATTATGAGCGACGAGAGTGAGGTGGCTTTCTGGGATTTGGTTTCATTAGGATTTTTATTTTTATTTTTGTTTGATTTTTAGTCTTTATTTTGACCTTTGAATTATAGTTAACACCATTAGATTTGGAGAGAGATTTGGAGAGAGAGAGAGACTAACAAAAGGGGTGTGATTGTAGTAAATGAAATATGTGGGATCTGACTCTAATTATACCAAACTTCCGGGAGTCTAAGTGAAATCCTCCCCTTGTTAAAATGACCCAAGCTTGAGATTTGGTGTGCCCAGCTGACAAATCTCGTTAGCAGCTCACATCTCTTTATGAAATAGCGTTTGCTTCATTCAAGTTTGGTCATAAACGTTAGGCTTTACGATCTTATAATTAAATGCAAAAATGTTCATTGATTTTTTTTTTCCTCATAAGGACGATCAATCTTTTAGGTTTATACTCTACTAGCCCGTTGTTACATGCTCACGCATGGGCCAATTGGTTTTCTTTTTTCTTTTTTCTTTTCTTTTTAGAATTAAGAAAAGATAACATGAGTAGTTATATTCCATAAAAGTATGACATATATCTGATTTTGTTTTCTATTTTATTTTTTTAATATGAAAAAATGTGAATTTACCATATTATCTTCATTTAAATAATAATTTCAATTCTTAATGTTTGAATTAACCAATGGCATTTTCTAATATTTCGAATGTTTCACCATTCTTTGACATTTGCTTTATATATATAGATTATCATTCTTATTTGCATTTGGTTTACTTTTTAATATTTCATAAACTCGGGTTAAACTTGAGTTTAAGAGCATCCACAATCATGCTCAATATTTTTTTAATTAAAATTTAGCTAAAAATGCTAGAAAATTATTTTAGGAGTTCTCTACCAAATTTCAAGTCCAACCATACTCCCTAATTTAAAGAGAAATAAATAATATTAATATTTTTTAATTCAATTTTTGAATAGAGTGCAAACACAGAAGCAACAACAAAAAATAGTTGACATTAAATAAATGGTTAAAATACTATTAAAATAAAGGAGCATTAAATTATAGGGAGTCACTAGAAGTTATCTCTCTCTCTCTCTCTCTCTCCTTAAATTTCAGATCTCCTAGAGGTCTCCCTATTTTTCAACTCTTCCGTAAAATTTGTCTAAAGAAGTGTTTTAAAAAGTCCATTGTAGATGTTCTAACCTCCCTTAAAAAATGAGTTCAGTTGAGCTAACCATAAACACTCAATCAATAGATGCTTAGTCAAGCCCAACTCATAGGGCCACCTATAATATTGTTCCACTATATATTGTGTGGGAAGTATCCCATAAAACCTAATCATTTTATGTAATAATTTATGGATATTACCTGTATTTACTTAGAGCATCCACAATGGGCTCCCTAAACTATCTTTTCGGACAAATTTTTGGGAGGAATTGGAAAAATACAACTCCAACCAAGCTCCTTATCCACCTCCTAAAATATGGAGACCTCTAGGAGTTCCTAAATCTAAAGAGAGAGAAAAGACTCTTAGTGACTCCCTATAATTTAATACCGCTTTGTTTTATGCATATTTTAAACTTTTAATTAATACTAATTATTTTTATATTTTCTTTTATAGAGATTGACCAATTATATTGAATCAAAAATATTTATAGTATTTATGACTCCCTAAACTAAGGAGTATGATTGGAGTTCAAATTTTATAGAGAGCTCCTAAAATAGCTTTTGTGTGTTTTTAGCTATATGTTAACTAAAAAATAAAGAGCATGATTGTAGATGCTCTTATAAATTAAATTAAATTAATGACGAGACACTAAGAAAAGTATGCATGTGCTCGATAGACGGTGAATTTACTAAATGCGATCAATCAATAATTCTTTTGTGGAAGTTGTACTTATATGCAGGGGTGGGCATCTTAAACCGAAATACCGAAACCGTACTACCGATTTCATACCGTTTCATTTGGTATTGAGAGATATTCGGTACCGTACCGTACCGTATCAATAGAGTATGGTATGGTAGCGGTATCAAGATTTTGGTACCGGTCAATACCGTACCGTACCGAATAATATAACTTTATGTTTTTGTCATTTATGTTTGGATTGTGTTTATATTTTTGTAATCCATAAGGCATAATTTTAACTATTTTGGTTTGTAAGCCATAAGGCATGAGTTTTAACCATTTGGATTTGATGAATCTATTGATGGATAAATATTAATTTGGTTGATTTGGATATTGAATATGTTGATAGATATTGGATATGTTGATTAGGATTTGGATATTGAATATGTTGAATCTTTGAATTTGTAACTTAGGCATCACTTATTTTGGTGTTGAATATTGAATTGGTTCATTTTTTAGTTGTATCATTTTGGTACCGAAATGGTACCGATACCGTACTGATACCGATTTGGCACGGTACGGTACAGTACCAATTTTGGCAAACCATAATCCCATACAGTACCATACCGATTTAAATTTCCAGTATCGATAACGGTACGGGCTCAATACCGTACCATACTGTACCGTGCCCATCCCTACTTATATGTCAAACAAGAATATTAAGTCGCAATAATGAATACTGGTACTTAAATCTTAGACACCCTATTTGTCTTATAAGTAGATTGTGTATTATTGGGTTTGCGATTAATCCATACAAGTATGTGTGTGTACAATAAGGCCCAGGCAAAGCAACCTAAAGGCCCCAAGGGTCAGCTCACTTGATTGTTTTTAAAGAAAAATTTAAAAATAAGAAAAAAAACAAACAAATATATATATATATATATAAATACAAATAAAACAAAAAACAAAACATTGTTTTTTCATCTCTATCTTCTACAGGGACATCGTCCACCTCAAGGGGCACCCCCAACCCATGCTAGGCGACAAGGCCAAACAGCCCCTCTCCAAATCTAACTTCCAGACGTGCACCCACCCTCTATCTCACCATAATTGTCACCTCATATCCCATTTGCAATTTAAAATCGATAGACTGCCAAATCGACCAAACTGAATAGGTTGGTTTGGAATTTTTCACTTAATTTTTGGTTTTGGTCAACAAATCGAACGGAACTGGTTGTGAAGAATGTTTCAAAAAAGTATGTGCCAAAGGGGACTCAAACCTTTAACCTGCTTGTTGGAAAGAAGCACTTCTAACACTTGTTTGGGACTGCTTTTCTACAAAGCAATTCTGCTCACAAGGGCTTCTGGCAAAAGCGCTTTTAAAGATGTTAAATTTTCATAAGAAATTCAATTGCTTCCTAGAAAAGCACTTGTGAGTGCTTCATGAAGAAGCACATAGTAGGTTCTTCTCCAGAAAACGTTTCTACGATCTAGAAGCACTTATAACATTTTATGCCAAACACTATTAAAAGTGTTTTTGTTTGTCAGAAAGCATTTGTAACACTCCCAAATAGGCCCACCACTTTTTTGTGAACCCCTAAAACAAAAGTGTAGCATGCACAGTTTAAAAAAAAAAAATCAAATGTTCTTTGTAGTAGATCAGCTTCACGGTGGTTTCAAAGAATTTGGGAGCAGTTTCTATATAGTTTATGCTAGTTTTTGTCATCAAAAGTTATGGCAACCCTTTTAAATATAAATGTATATTTACTCTAACGCTTTGTTGTCAAAGAAAGTGTTTTTTATCAAAGTAATCAATGTCAAATGAGCACTATCTGATTTCTCCCTCATAGGAAAAAAACAAAAACAGACATACAAAAGTCAACTGGCCAGCGCATAAGTCCATGCCAAGAGGTAGTTGGTAATTGAAATTTAAAATGTCTCAGAAAAACAAACCTGGAGTAAGCGGCAAATTAGCACTATCCGCAATCCAAATGCTCAGTATACCACTAACGCCATACAACAACAACTACCTACAAAGACTGGAGAAATAAAGCAAGAAATAAAGATCGATGTATATATATTTGTGTTGTAAGATGAGAGAAATAGAACAAGCAAAAGAAGAAAAGCAATGGAACCGAAGAAACTAAACAAACAGACCCTTAATCTCCAAAATAAAGAAAAAATATTACAAAAGTTACGAACAAGAGTTTTCCTACTAAAGTGTGAAGGAACCACTCGTGTTCTGTTCACCCAAAATAAATAAATAAATAGTAAAGAAAATAAAGAAAAACTAAAGAGTTAATTAGGCAATCACAAACATTGCAGTTTTCGCACACAACAATATAGTATGTATACTATGTCATACATACATAAAAATACATGTCCGGGAGTGGATCCTCCTATCTGGAATCCAAAGCTAATGTCTCACTTGCATTCTGCACCTTTGAACTCAAATTGTTCTTGCTTGGGCAACTGATTCCTAGTCGAACATTTCAAAAATGTTATTAAAAATCCTTATTTGCAATTTAGTCATTATAACTAGGGGTGGCAATTTCGGGCACGCCCCGTTACACGACTCGAAACTCGCACGAGAATTTAGCAAGTTCAACCAGCACGATTAAAATTTGGGTCATTTTCAGGTCAACTCACTATGACCCGTTTAATAAACGGGTGGGTTTTGGGTCAACCCGCCAACTCGCTAAAATACTTATGTAACTCGCCAACCCGCTAAAAAACTCATGTAACCCGCCAACCCACTAATCCGTTTATTTGTTTATTATTCTGTTTTTTTTTTAAGTTTTTAAGTTGCTATCACTTAGCGGGTCAATCCAACACGACCCGAAACCCGCACAAGAACTTAATAGGTCAACCCGAGCATGACATGTTTATTAAACGGGTTGGGTTTGGGTTGAGCATTCCTGACACGTATATAACCTGACACACGAACCCGACACGACGCAACCCATTGCCAGCCCTAATTATAACTAGCTACACTTGTCAATAATTTCACTTTTGTCCTTATACTTTCCTTTATTTTCACTGTGGCCCCTATACTTTTTCCAATACATTTCGGTCTTCAGACTTATCCATAATTTACTTTGGTCCTTACATTTTCCTTTATTTGCACTTTGGCACTTATACTTATTTAAATTATCTTTTGGTCCTTCCACTTTCAAAACCGGTTTGGGCCAAGAACTCAGACACAAATTTCTAGAAATCGAAGCATCTTAAAACTTTACCTTAATATTGGTCCGAAATCCTGAGTGAAGCTGCCAAAGAGAAATAACCAACTCAAACAACACTTGAAAACTAACAAAAGCTTGTTTCAGGTGTACCACTATGAAGGAAGTATTGTCATCTGAGCAAGGGAAAAGTGACATACAAGAGTGAATAAGGTACTGTACAGTAATAACAGCAGAATACGAGGAAGTGACGAACATGCTTACCACAGACATAGCTAGAGTAGTTGGATTGCTCTGATTTTTGGGTATGTCATAGTTGTCAACTGAGGATTAAAGAAGGACATTTTGTCAAACGAGCACCGGAGATTAAAGAAAACTGATGAAAACTGAGCGGCACAAAACTCACCAGCCATGGATGAACACAGAAATGTCATAGCCGGTTCGAGGTAGCTAGACCCGTCTGATGATGCTCATGTTTGGGTATGATATAGTATTCGAACAGACGAACAACTTTGATGAAGAAAGTTTGCTGATTTGAGCTTTCGAAATCAGACTTCTAGAGTGATGAATAATACCCACGAGTTTGGGTTTTCTGAAGAAGAAGATGAACGTTGACCCAAAAAGGAGGAAAAAGGAACAAAAGAAGAATAAAACAAAGAAAGTGTCGGCAGCCTTACCCAAAATTTTGAAAAAAGTGGGGCCAGCCCGCGTGTGAACAGTACCCACTAGTTGAATGATGGTTACAACAGAGAAAGTCACATGTATTTTTCGCAACTTTTCCCCAAGATGGAGATAAAGATGAAGTTATGAGTGAGCAAAACTTTTCACCTCTGCATTTTCCTCATTTCAGAATCTCTAGTCAAAATCTTTCAGTCTGTTTCAATGAAACTGTTTCTCATTTCAGCATACAAACACCATTTCCTCATCCAAAATGAAAAGATGTCATCAAACTCGTCTGGTGCCCTTTCCATAATGTTGCTAGTTTCCGTAATTCTCTGCGCTCTATAAAATGAAAGGAACGGTATTGCATCATCTTTGCTAATATTAGCTTCAATGAAGTTATAGACGAAAGCAGAGCATGCTTGATGAAACAAGCTACCTTGTGAAAGAACAAAAAGAATACTAGATTGAAAGGAGAAAAGAGAAACTCATCCTTCGAAACTGTAAATTCAATCAGATTTATTTTTAATGTTACCAAAAAAACAATAAAGAACTTTTTCTT